TTTTACATATATATACTATAAATATATATAAATAATAACAGCTTTTATATGAGATTTTGATCATAAAATTGGTATAATCATTTCAAATGTCATTTATATATTTTTTGGACAAATTACATCGATAATTGTGTACTTGACTTTTATGTTATTTTAGGTCCTTGTAATTTCAATGTGCTTGATTTTAAACATTGATTTGTTATTTTGTTTCAATTTGGATTCAATTTGATTATTGGTTGCTACGTTTTTTTGATGCAAAATGCACACCATAACAAACATTATAGGAAATCGCATTTTGCCGACTGAAAATTTGGTCGGCAAAAAGTCTATTTTTAGTTGGACAAAGTTATCTACGACAATTTTTTGGTCGCCATTTTTGGTGCAATGAGGGTCGGCAAAAGTAATTAGCGATTTCAAACTTTTGTTAGTGAGAAAAAGTTGGATTTGCCGACAAAATTTTTGCGTCGCTTAATATTATCATTACTGCCGGACTAATCTATGTAGTCGCTAAAACACTTAGTCGCGAAAAAGTGACATATTCCCGACCAACATGTTAGTCGCCAATTGTCACATTCTACGACCAAACATGTTAGTCGCCAAAGTCACAATCCACGACAATTAGATTAGTTGCCAAAAAGTCACATTCCCATGACCAACATGTTAGTACCAAAAAACCAAATGTTTGCGCGACTAAAAGTTTAGCGGCAATAGACCTATCACGACCAAAAAACTCATTTGGTTGCCAAAATTAACAATTTTACTGACTTAATTATTTAGTCACCAAATGTACCATTTTGCTACCAACATTTTGGTCAGGTAAAAACAAATTTGGTCAACAATATCTAACAAAATAACCTATAATTGAAGACAAATATTCCATCAATCCATTCAATATAATTTGTTAATTAAAAAGAATTATTTATACCAACAAAAGTATTTAATCGATGAGCATTCAATGAAATTCATAAATCATCAATGCTGAACCTGTTTAATATAAGTCAACAACTATTATAAAGTTTCCATCACAAGTAATTCCAAAGCTACATATTCCTCAATTTAAATTTTTATCATGCGGCATCTATCAAAAATATAACTAGTAGATCTACCCAAATATTTTCTATATACACCCATTCAAAAAGTATAACTACTAGTCTTATCCAAAAATTATTAACACTAGTCTATCGAAATATTTTCATACATATCTATCAAATATATATAATACTTTCATAAAATGCTTATAGTGCCATTAGTCCTGTACAATTAGCTTTTGTGCCCGAGTTCATCTCATCTTGTACCAAAGAAAAAGAAAAAGAATGCTCATATGAATTGAGCATCATTAACCACTGTTTTGTTCTAAAATGTGGTAAAACACTTTTAAAATAATTTACTTTCAAACTGGAGGGATGCAGCTCCTCCCCAAAGAACACATTAGCATGGGATTTTTAAGAATTAGTCCTGACAACTAAATCTTTGTTTTGGATGCTTAGTGATTTGTCCATATGATATAGTGATTATTCGAAAACATGCAAACAGTGTTCCACTATGCGCATTACGCATCATCTATTACTTTGACATCAAACCAACCATCATGTTTACACTGTGTAAGAATTCTCAAAAATTCAGATGCAGTGTATTTTTGCAAGCAAGAAATTCTATCGTTATTGAGATACAAAAAGGCATTCCCTGCCATTTCATGTAAGTTAATTTTGTGATAGAAACCCAAAACATCTTAGAATGAGACTTCTAACTTCTCGAGAAGTTCTACCCATTCACTACTAAGGCAATAAATCTTTTCTGTTGACACCATTGCGCATTGTTAACTTACTCTCATCTAACTAGACTATATGACGAATTCAGGTGCCAAGCTTGTGGCAAGACTCGCCGAGGCTTCACCTTCCACTGCTCCACCTGCCAATTCAACCTTGACATCAATTGCGCATCTCTCAAACCCCAAATTAACCAACAGATTAGCATCCAACATTTCAACCACACAAAGCTGCATACCTTGGATCTCTGCAATAAGGACAAGAACTTCAATGTTTTTTGCTCGGCGTGTGAGTCACAATTTCAGGATCATGATTCGATCTACGTTTGCCTTGAATGCAAACTGTTGTTGCATAAACCATGCGCTGAATTACCACAGAAGATCGATCACCACCCGTTTCACCCACAACACTCACTCGTTCTATGCACTAAAAAGCCACCATGGGAGAGTTTCACGAGATGCAAGGCGTGTTGGAAGGATTATAGTTTTGGCTTCAATTACCGCTGTGTGGAATGCAAGTTCATTTTGGGGAGTGAATGCGCTTTTCTGATGCCTAGAAAGTTTGAATTCCATGAGCACCCTCTTGCCCTCTTTAATAAAACAAGGTTTGTTTTCAATGAATAACATAGCTATTGCATTCA